CGCCCGGCCCACACAAACCTTATATAGCCTGCTACACACCTAGATTGTATGGCGTAGCCTATTGCTCCTAGGCTACACACCTGTACAGCCTGATATTTTACTGAATGCTATAGGCAGTTGCAACACAATGGTAAGTACTTGTGTACCCGAACATAGAGAAGGAACGGTAAGAATCGAGCATAAGAGAGTTTAAAATACCCTATACTCCTGTATAGGGCACTTACCATGAAAAGAGCTTGCAGGACTGGAAGATGCTGTGAATGAGTCACTGAGTGTGAAGGCATAGGATCTCACTGTACACTACTGTAGGCTTTATAAAAACCATATGCTTAAGCTACACCAAAATTTTTTAAAGCTTTTCTTCAATAATAAATTAACTTTAGCTTGCTGTAATTATTTATTTATTTACTTATTTTGTATTTTATTTTTTTCTTTTTATTTTGCTGTAATTATTTAAAAAAAAATTTTGCTGGGTGTGGTGGCTCACACCTGTAAGGGAGGCCGAGGTGGACAGATCACCTGAGGTCAGGAGTTCGAGACCAGCCTGGCCAACGTGGTGAAACCCTGTCTCTACTAAAATACAAAAATTAACTGTGTGTGGTGGTATGCGCCTATAATCCCAGCTACTCAAGATGCTGAGGCCGGAGAATTGCTTGAACCCAGAAGGCTGAGGTTGCAATGAGCTGAGATTGTTCCCATTCTGTTGGTTGCCAGTTCGCTCTATTGGTAGTTTATTTTGTTGTGCAGAAGCTCTTAAGTTTAATTAGATCCCATTTGTCTATTTTGGCTTTTGTTGCCATTGCTTTTGGTGTTTTAGTGATGAAGTCCTTGCCCATGCCTATGTCCTGAATGGTATTGCCTAGGCTTTCTTCTGGGGTTTTTATGGTTGTTAGGCCTCATGTTTAAATCTTTAATCCATCTAGAGCTAATTTTTTATAAGGTGTAAGGAAGGGATCCAGTTTCAGCTTTCTGCATATGGCTACCCAGTTTTCCCAACACCATTTATTAAATAGGGAATCCTTTCTCCATTGCTTGGTTTTGTCAGTTTGTCAAAGATCAGATGGTTGTAGTTGTGTGGCATTCTATCTGATGCCTCTGTTCTGTTCATTGGTCTTTATCTCTGTTTTGGTACCAGCATCATGCTGTTTTGATTACAGTAGCCTTGTAATATAGTTTGAAGTCACGTAGCGTGATGCCTCCAGCTTTGCTTTTTTTACTTAGGATTGTCTTGGCTATGCAGGCTCTTTTTTGGTTCCAAATGGAGTTTAAGGTGGTTTTTTTCCAATTTTGTGAAGAAAGTCATTGGTAGCTTGATGGGGATAGCACTGAATCTATAAATTACTTTGGGCAGTATGGCCATTTTCAAGATATTGATTCTTCCTAACCATGGGCATGGAAAGTTTTTCCATCTGTTTGTGTCTTCTCTTATTTCCTTGAGCAGTGGCTTGTAGTTCTCCTTGAAGAGGCCCTTCACATCCCTTGTTAGTTGTATTCCTAGGTATTTTATTCTCTTTGTAACAATTGTGAATGGGAGTTCGCTCATGATTTGGCTTTCTGTTTGTTGTTGGCGTATAGGAATGCTTGTGAATTCTGTGCATTGATTTTGTATCCTGAGACTTTGCTGAAGTTGCTTATCAGCTTAAGTAGATTTTGGGCAGAGACAATGGGATCTTCTAAATATACAATCATGTCATCTGCAAACAGGGACACTTAGACGTCCTCTCTTCCTATTCAAACACCCTTTATTTCTTTCTCTTGCCTGATAACTCTAGCCAGAACTTCCAATACTATGTTGAATAGGAGTGGTGAGAGAGGCCATCCTTGTCTCTGGCTCAAGAACTTTCTATGATTCCCTATGGCTACTTATGTGGTTCTCCCACCTTTAATAATAGAAGCCAACATTGATGAATCCCTTACCACATGCCAGGTACGTTACAGACCTGCCTCCTAAAAACAGCATAGAAGAGGTTGGTACTCTTACTGCACCAATGTTATAAATATGGAAACAAAGACTCAGCAACTTGAGGTAACTTACCCAGAGCCAAAATTAGGAAGTAGAGTTTAGATTAGCACATATCACTTTCACCATTGCCATCCCAGCTCCATTTGTTCATGTTTCAAAGTCCTATACCCACCTCCAACTGAGTGGCCAGTGGGAACAGCTCCACAGCAGAAGCAGCCTCTAGGAATCCCTTCAGCTTCCGCAGTGAGGGGGAGGAGGTGCAAAAGATACTTAGCTTTACCATCCCATCCTCTCCCATAACTTTTTTTTTTTTTTTTTTTTTTTTTTGAGGCTGAGTCTTGTCTGTCACCTCAGCTGGAATGCAATGGCATGCTCTCAGCTCACTGCAGCCTCCACCTCCTGAGTTCAAGTGATTCTCCTGCCTCAGCCTCCTGAGTAGCTGGGATTACAAGTGCATGTCACCAAGCCCAGCTAATTTTTATATTTTTAGTAGAGATGGGGTTTCGCCATGTTGGTCAGGCTGGTCTCTAGCTCCTGACCTTGTGATCTGCCTGCCTTGGCCTCCCAGAGTGCTGGGGTTACAGGTGAGAGCCACCGTGCCCCGCCTTTTTTTCTTTTTCTTTTTTCTGAGATGGAGTGTCAGTCTGTCACCCAGGCTGGAGTGCAGTGGTGCGATCTTAGCTCACTGCAACCTCTGACTCCTGCGTTCAAACAATTCTTGTGCCACAGCCTCCGGAGTAGCTGGGATTACAGGTGCCCACCACCACGCCTGGCTAATTTTTGTATTTTTAGTAGAGACAAGGTTTCACTATGTTTGTCAAGCTAGTCTCAAACTCCTGATCTTAAGTGATCTGTCCGCCTTAGCCTCCTAAAGTGCTGGGATTGCTGAGCCACCATGCCCGGCCCCATCTCCCATAACTTAATAGAAGAGGGAAAAGAATTCCTCCAAGAGAAAATTAGAGTGAGATTAGGAGAGGAAGTAGGTGCTAGGTAGCCTTAAATCAGCAGCTGATTTCTCCGATTGGTGACTCAATTATTTTTCTATGGCTGCTGTAACAAATTACCACAAACTGATTGGCTTACACCACCACAAATTTAATCTCATATGGTTCTTTTTTTTTTTTTTTTTTTTTTTTGAGACGGAGTTTCACTCATGTTACCCAGGCTGGAGTGCAATGGCGCGATCTCGGCTCACCGCAACCTCCGCCTCCTGGGTTCAGGCAATTCTCCTGCCTCAGCCTCCTGAGTAGCTGGGATTACAGGCACGCACCACCATGCCCAGCTAATTTTTTGTATTTTTAGTAGAGACGGGGTTTCACCATGTTGACCAGGATGGTCTCGATCCCTTGACCTTGTGATCCACCCGCCTCGGCCTCCCAAAGTGCTGGGATTACAGGCTTGAGCCACCGCGCCCGGCCTCTCATATGGTTCTATAGGTCACAAGCCTCAAAGCAGTTTTACTTGGCTGAAGTCAAGATGTAAAGAACTGATTCCTTTAGGAGGTTCTAAAGGGAAAATCTATTTTCTTGCCTTTTTCTGCTTTTAGTGGTTACCTATATTCCTTGGATTGTGGCCCCTTCCTCCATTTTTAAAGCACACCACGCCAGTCTCTGCACAGTGCTATAGTTTGAATGTGTCCCCCAAAGTTCATGTGTTGGAAATTTAATCTCCAATGCAACAGTGTTGAGAGGTGGGACCTTTAAGAGGTGATTAGGTCATGAAGGATCTGCCCTCATTAACAGAGGAAGGGTGTTATCTCAGCAGAGGGTTAATTATCATGGGGGTGGATTCCTAATAAAAGGATGAGTTCAGCCCCCTTTCTCTCTTGATGTGATGCCTTCTACCATGGGATGACACAGTAAGAAGACCCTCACCAGAAGCGGGCCCCTCAACCTTCCCAGCCTTCAGAATTGTGAGAAATAAATCTGTTCT